TTTTTCATATTTTAAATGTAAATTGTCTTGTTCCATTGGCAAAATATCTCACTTTCCTCCTTAATTCAAGAAAAAATGCACTTAGTTTAAGGAAAAATTACTTATGTAGAATAACAATTTTTTTGCAGTGTAGGACAATTCTGATTAGGGTGATTTGAATTAAAACAGGCTCTTAAAGTTAGTTTTGTAAAGTTTTGCTTTAAACAAGGCTTAAATAATAATGGTTTAAATACGATTGGATGTTCTTTCAGAAAATGTTGGGTCTTAAAGTTTCTTTACTCCACTTAGGATAATTTGATTTCTAAAACAGTTGATGATTAATTTGATAAATCGTGGATGACGGGTCTCTTAAGTTCAAACCACGTGTAAAACACAGAAGTCTTGTACATTTAAACTAAGGTTCAGACCCACAGATGATGGAAATAGGTCATATGTTTGCTCCATGAATGTCTGGGAGCCTGTTTAATCTCGGCTGGGTGTCAGGCGGACGTGTCTCATTAATAAGGTACCTTGATGTTTCTGTCAGGCTTCACCAGACATCCAGGAGTTTCTGGCCTGGCAGCATGACCTCGACTGCGACAGCAAGGATCCAACGCAGGCCAGACCGACCGTGTTCAGATGGATGGGGTCGGCCAAGGAGGTCTATGTGTCTGGGTCTTTTAACAACTGGGCCACCAAAATCCCACTAAACAAAAGGTAGCAGAACTTCAAATAATATCCGTTCTCTTATACCGGACCTGATTCTTGATGTTTTTATATAAATGTGCTGTGCTCTTCTTGCAGTCAGAATAACTTTGTGGCCATTGTGGACCTCCCTGAAGGAGAGCACCAGTACAAGTTTTGCGTTGACGGACAGTGGACTCTGGATCCCACTGGGGTGAGCAGGAGCTTTAAATCTAGACTAGTTTTTCGTCGTTCTTTAGTCCTGTCTTTTCTCTGGAGCTGCTTTAGCAACCTTCTGCTTGTGCTCCGACAGCCCGTGATAACGACCAAGACTGGTACAGTCAACAACATCATACAGGTGAACCAGACCGACTTTGAAGTCTTCAATGCCCTGGAGATGGACTCGCAGGATTCAGCAGACCTGTCAGGTAAACGGCGGCAGACTGATGGGCTAAATATCAATAGAAAAAGTGATTAAACCCTGAAGTGAGGCCTATAAACGGCTGCTTAAAAAGAAACTGTATTATAAAGAATATGTTGAGATCAGGAGAGAGCAATATTCCCAGCAGATAACAGTAAGGTCAGGGTCCTATGGCAGCAGACCTTCTCTGCTTTATTCTTTTAAGCTCTGTGTTGTTTTTTGGAAATGCAAAAGTTCATCAAAAAACATATTTTTTGGTTCATAAAGTGAAATTTAAACCGGCTAAAAACAATCAGCTTTGAAAAAATCAGAAAACTCTGATCTGTAGTTTTCATCACCCAGCCTGTGACCATCTTTTTTTTTACTTTTTTTAATCTAATGTGATGTTTGTGCGTCAGACTTGTCCAGTTCTCCACCCGGACCCTACCAGCAGGACGGATATCTCATCAAGCCAGAGGATAAGATCAAACACCCTCCTATCTTGCCTCCCCACCTGCTCCAAGTCCTGCTCAACAAGGACACGGGGGTCTCTGTGAGTCGGCTGACGTTCTGACCTGGAGGTCTCAGCCTCTGTAAGAAACTGCTTCCTGTGACTGATTTAAAAACAATCCTTTAAATCTTCCTCCAGTGTGATCCGACACTACTTCCAGAGCCCAACCACGTCATGCTGAACCACCTGTACGCCCTCTCCATCAAGGTAATGCTGGTCAGCATTTTAACGGATGATTGTTCAATAATAGAATTAACTTTTAGGAGTTTAAATGTTGAAGAATTCGCTATATGAAAGCAGACAATGTTTAAACTGCTGCTGTAACCTCTGTCTCCTTCAGGACGGGGTGATGGTTCTCAGCGCCACTCACCGATACAAGAAGAAGTACGTCACCACCCTCCTCTACAAACCCATATGACCCTCTGAGGCCACCGTTCTCCACAGCTGCTACTTCTAAAGTTTATTGGAAACAGGACCAACCTTTGTGACCAAGCCTCAGAAAATCTGATTTTCTTAGATCTTTTATTTAGTCAAACTGTTTTAATGTTCCTTCATAACGTTCCGTCATGTGAGTGTGTGAATAAATCAGTAAAGCTCTTCCTCTTATAGATTCTGTTCATGTTGTGGCTCATTTTGTTCCCTCTCTGAGTTTTTACTATAATCTGTTGAAGGGTCAGCCTGGAGGCACAGGAGTCACCAGGTTTTTAAATTCTTCACAAGAATAAAACAAAATATGTATTAAGAAATAACTGCATGCTTTATCTAATTAGTCTGCCTTTATTTTTAGCAGCTTCTGGATTAATCTAATCTTCACTTATTGAACAGTAATTTAATTCTGCTTGTAAAATAAAATGTGCAGAGACAGAAACTCTCCACATGCGAGCAGACTGAGTTTATTCAACTCATTACCTTCTAAAAAAAAAAAAAAAATGGTTTCTAAACTTTTCTTCCTCGGCTCCATTTTGCTTCATGAGTCACACCCCCTCCAATGAACGTCAACCTTCTTACAGTTCAACAAAGAAATGGTAAAATACATATTGCTATAAATAAACTATTAAACTTCTATTTTCCCCCTCTATTACCCATGTTACCTTTCTTGGTAACTTGGATTTAAAAACCACTTTATGGCAAACAAGGTGAAATCCATCCATCCATTTTCTGACACGCTTATCCCTGTTGGGGTCATGAGGGGTGCCTATCTCCAGCTGCCTTACTGGACATAGGGCAACACAGAGAAACAACCCATCACGCACACACTCACACCTAAGGAGAATTTAGAGAAGCCAGTTAACCTAACAGTCATGTTTTTGGACTGTGGGAGGAAGCCGGAGATTGATTTATTTTTTTATATTAAATATATTAGGGCAAGTAAATTATTTTTGTAATTACATTGCATCAACCTTGATATTTGCCATGTGAATATTTTTCTTTGGCATTACAGAATAAGGTAATAATCCTCTTCTGTTTTCCATTAATACACTGGGCTTGAAAATTTACTTTTTTTGGAAGTTTTTCTCTGAGTGCCCTATGAAGGGTTAAAGGGTTATTTTTTTAATTGTAAAATAGTTTTAAATTATGTAACAGAATTCAACATTTCAATAATAATAAAAAATACTAAAGTGTGTCGCTCATCATGGCCCCCAGCTATTACACCAGGGCCCCCCTGTCTTAAGAGATAAGAATAACCAGAATAGATCAGAATAAAACATCTTTTATTTTAAGGTCACTGACAAAAAAGACGTTCTATTCTGAAGGCAGCTGTGATCCACATGTGGCGGTGGCTGTCTGATGCGTCTTAACAGTACTGAGAACCCAGGTACTTGTTATCAGGGTTGTAATTGTACCGAGCGAAGCATTCAGTAGCCGCACGGTCGCACTCGCAAGCCGCAGCCTCGCACGAGTCGTTGGTTGCTGCAGACAGACAAAATTAGGAAAAAAAATATTAATATTAGGAGTTTAAAACAAGAGCAGCTCAAAGTAGAGTAGAAAGGAAAAGGGTTTACAAATAAATTCTGAAAATAAGATCTTTGGCAAAATAAGTCAGAGCTCAAATCAGACAGCGATCCTCCATTAACAACCGTTTTAAACTCTATCATTGGATCTCAATGTGATTTAGGTTTAACTTTAACTAGGACGCTAAACATTTTGGTTCATCCCATAATATCTGTTTGGGTCGTCTTAGATCACCTAGGAATTCCAGCCAACACCCATCAGCTCTTATCCACTTAAAATTCATCCGTACCCACAGCATGATGCTGCCACCACCGTGTTTCATTTTCCTTATATGGCTTCCTCTTCTCAAACAGCAGGATTCATGGACTCATAGTTGTTCAACCAACAGATTCTCTCTCCATCAGAGCTACTGTAGGACTAATGGCTTCCTCTCTGACTACCGCCCTTATCTGGTCGGTTATTTTAGGCTGCTAACTATGTGTTGGTGGGATTTCAGCCGAGCTGCACCTTCCGTCTCCTGATAATGGATGGAGGAACATTTGTGTTTTCCATTCCAGGCCTTCATGCTGATTCTTTTTCATCTTCTAGAACAGAATTTCATACTTTATTTCAATTCATACTAAGATTCAGTGATAAAACCTTTAGATTTTCTGTGAGGTATTGGAGCAAAAGGAGATTAATATTTTTACTAGTAAAGCTTGTCATGTGTTTATTTGCAGAAGATCTTTAAAATCCCATGCATTTGTATTCCAAATACAGGGATTATTAAAAGAAAATCTAAATAAGCTAAAAATAAAACAATTTTTTTTACAGCAACGCTGCAGTGAACGTCTACAACTTATATAAAGATAGAGCCAAAGATCTCTTGTTTAGTTGGACAAAAAAAAAGAAGCAAATATTAGCCATTTACATCATTTACTGCAGGGGTATGGGTCACAACCCCACAAGAGTTTTTTACAATCACAAAGATGTGATCAATAGATATGGAGATCAATATTTAAAATAAAGTACATATATGTAAATGAATCATGAAATAGGAAGATGTCACACACTGCAAAAACAATCTAGAAATAAGTTAAAATTCCTTAAATCAAGTGTATTTTACCTTAATTTTAGTAGGTAAATGGGATGATTTGCTAATGGAATAAGTATTTTTACTCTTAAAATAAGATATTTAGATAATATTCACTTGTAATAAGACAATGCAGTTGCTTTTTCTTATTTTAAATGTAAATTGTCTTGTTCCATTGACAAAGTGTCTCACTTACCTCCTCAATTCAAGAACAAATGCACTTAGTTTAGGAAAAAATGATTATTTAGATTTCAATTTTTTGCAGTGCATGTATTTGTTTTTCTATTATTACAATAAATAGTAAAATACAATATTAAATAATGAAAATTCCCATTAAAAATACATTTAAAATTATTTATTAAACTCTGGAATGTGATTTTAATAATAGATTGTTTTACACTTTAGTATAACAACTTATTTTTCTATGTTAGATCTAGAGTGAGTCTCCAGCTTGTTGCTAATTAATTTTTGGGGTCACAAGCTGAAATCTGCTGGATTGTTGCTGCAGTTTTATGTTCTTTGAGCTACAAGATTAACAACAAGACAGTGAAACCTAAATAACAGCTTCCTGTCGGTCTTACCTGAGCAGTACGCATGTTTGTTTGAGCAGGTGAAATCATAGCTGATAATGTGGGGAAGGTCGAAAATACCGTCACATCCAGGAATCTTTCTGCTGTTTTCGTAACATTTATCATGAACTTGGCAGCACCTTCGGGAAAAAAAACATTAAAACTGAGAAATTATTTATTCACTCCTGTTAAAATAAAAGAGAAACACAAGAGGATCACCTCCTACCTGTCCACATCGTCCACCGGAGTGCCACCTCCCCCTAAGCCACAATAGCAGCCGTATTCATTGTAATCCAGAGGATTAATACCCGGCTGGGTGCAAATGATCATCTCCCCAAAGTGCCAGACAGCTTTGGGGACTGCGCCCGCACTGACCAGACATGCTGGGAAGCATGAGAGAAATAAAACCTCACAGAACAACCTGGATGGGTTCTTATTTCCCCAAGAGGAAGTTTTGCAGGCTTACCGGTGAGAAGCAGCAGAGGAAGCGTCGCCTTCATGGTTACAGAGGAAAGGATGTGAAGTTGGTGGCAGTTTGCACCAAAGAGAGAAGTCAGATAAACAAGCCAGGTGGGGAGGAGGGGTGTGGAGGGGGGCGTGCTCTGTTCAGGATCGTTCTTGCTTGGACCAGTCAGGTCCGATGGGTTCCTTTTGGATGGTTTATCTGTGTTTGTCCCTGAGGAGATGAAATCCATCCACATAAAGCCTCTGAACAAAACCTTCAGTAAGATCCACCGTGGTGCCATAAGTATTCAATCCCTCTACAGCATCGAGGTGTTCAACCCCATCCTTCTTGACCAGGTAGCTAAAGAGTAAAGAGAGCTGAGGGAACTCTAGGGTGGATTCCACTAAAATGGCTTCAGGGGTCATAACAAAGGTGATGGACATCAACTGAGCCACTAACTTTTAGGTCAAGTAAAAGTGCAAAGAGCTTTATGAAATGGAAAAGTTTCGAAAGACGATAACCAATTAACAATAATCAAATCTGAACCCCAACCCTGAAAATTACATTTAATCCCACAGAAGAATAGTGTATTGAGGTTTCTTTGGAGTTAAATCTGCTCCATGTTTGTCCGGTCCTGTTGGGTATACCTCTGGGTTATATGTTCGGCCCCTGCTTTTTGCTGTCAACATTACGCTCCATTTGGCTCTTCCTGTCAATGTTTTCACAGCAAGGTTTCTTGAAGTGTTACGTTTCAGTGAAATGGTGGATGGCAGACAGTTTTTTGTAATTAGGGAATGAAAAAACTGAAATCCAAATATTTGCGCCACTGACATTTATTTGTACGGTATAGAAGACCCCCAGGTCTCATCTAGGGGTGTAAATCACATCCATCATGGCGATTCGATTCAGTATGAATTTCCTGACCCAACGATTCGATTATTTTCTATACTTAAGAATACACCACGATATGATTCGATTCGATTAATTGTTTTTTTTGTTGTTGTTTTTTTTACCTTACAGGCTAGACAATGTTTCAAATTTGAAATCAATGGCAGCTGTAATATCATTATACATTTAATTTGAGAAACAACAGCAAATAACAGAAGTAGNAAATTTGAAATCAATGGCAGCTGTAATATCATTATACATTTAATTTGAGAAACAACAGCAAATAACAGAAGTAGCAAAGTTGTACTCCACCTAGGCCTATAAAAACTTTATTCACCTAAAAATATTTATGCCTCTGTGTTATAGATTCTGAAAGGCCTTGCATAAAATAATACTGCGAGTGGAACGAGGGTAGTGGCTGAAGGAAGCAAGGTAGGAGGGCAAAATAAGTTTAGCGCCACCGCGCAGGATTACGTCCAGAAGCAAATGGATAAAAATAGACCAGATGAAAAAAAACATGAATCGATTCTCTTGCGGACTTAACGATGAATCGGATCGTTGGCTGTTGGATTGATGCATCGATACAAAACAATTATTATTTATATACGTGTCATGTTTTCAAAATGTGTTTATATCATAAAGTATCTGGTTTATTTCTGCTTTATGTAAATCCTTTATTGTCCCACAAAGGGTAAACTCAATCTCTGCATGTAACCCATCCAATTGGGAAGCAGCGGACTGCCACTGTTGGCGCCCGGGGAGCAGTCTGCGGTTAAGGGTCTTGCTCAGGAACCCAGAGCGGTTGTGCATGGAAGTTTTTGGGACTTGAACTAAGAACCTCTGGGACCCAATATTCTCACCACTAGGCGACCACTTCCTTCTTTATCACCTGTGAAATATCACCAAACTGAGCTCTATTGTGCAAAGTCTGGAACTAATCCCATCTAGTTTATTGTGATGCACTTTATTCGTCTCAACGTAATCTGAACTCAGATTCCTAATCCTAACAAACTTTAACTTACTTTAACATCGACTGCAGATGAAACTGCCCTGATCAGAGTGCATTCTAGGACTGTGGCGTCTGCGGGGTTACACGAGCGGACCGCAGCACTTCCCTCAGGATGTGTGATGGTGCCTCCATCCATACATAGCCTTAATCCAAGCTTTCTAATAGGGATTCACTTTATTTCAAGTTAGACCCAATATCTGCTCTGTCAGGAAGGTCCATCTTCATGGCACAAGACTCCACTGCTAAAGAAAATATGATGTATTCTGATCAAGCATCTCAATAAACAGGTGTTTAAAGGAGGAAGGACACTAGATTCCACCCAGAAGGCACCAGGAGGGAAGGTTTGAAAAGTTTGTTTAACTGCCAGTCATCCTGCCAAACTCTCTAGAGGTGAAGGAAGGAATAGTCCAGAAATGTACTAGTATATCTTGATTAAAATCTGCTTCCATCTACCATCACGCTGAGGACGAAACAGCCAATCACTACCGAAAAATTACTGTGTAAATTCTCAGTCATGCGGTTCATGGCAACCACAAATCAGTCTTAAATTGGAGGCAACGAGACTTCCAAAACAATCAACAACAAAAGAACATTGAAGGATGGCTGTTTGATTTACATCTGACTCGGCAGGATGGACCTCTATGCTAACCTGACTCCGCCAGATGGATTTGCTCCGCATATCCATCTGGAAACCTGAAGTAATTTTGGGAATGGGCGAAAATACTGGTTAGCTGATTGGCCTATGTTGGTGATAGACGGGCCAAATAAACCAATCAGATCAACGAAGCATATGACGTACTAACAGCCAGGCTACTCTTGCCGAAACCAGTCAGGAGAAGAGCAAAAACATCTTTTCCTCTGAGAAAAGCCTCCAGAGCAGTGTTTTGCTCTTCTTTCAGTGAAGAAATACTCTGTAATTCCCATAAAACTTGCACGATAGCCACGCTAACGCTAGTTTCATTGGCTGAAGCCGCCATGTTCTTTAGACTGAACTGTCGCGCTTCTCTTTGCGTCACACCTCAACCCGCCTCAAAGCCAACGCTGATTGGACGTTCGTTTGGTGAACGGCTCCAAATTTTCTTCAACGGAGAGTCTCCAGGCTGACCTGCGAGTGAAATCTTGAAAGCTCACGAGATCAGGATGGTCTCACGAGGCTACCTCTATGCTGCCCTGGCTATAGATTGCTCTACTTTCAGCTGACAGAACTTACAGACTCCTGGATAGGAGCAGAAACGTCCATAAAAAAAAAGCAGAGGTCTGTTTGCCTCCAATTGAAACCTGTTTTTTTTTTTTTGGTTCACAACTGAGAAAGTAATGATTCTCCACATCAGAGACATCTTAAAGCCTTTGGTACCAATGATTCCTTCTCCGCTGAGTATTTAATACATCTAAGGAAGTATTGGCCTAGTGTTTGAGCAGTGCATTAAGAAGGTTGTAAGTACCCGGTTCGATTCCCACCGCCTACACTCTGGGTTCCTGAGCAAGACCGTTAACCCCACCCTGCTCCCTGGGCGCCACACAGTAGCAGCCCACTGCTCCCCAAAGGGATGGTTCAAAATGCAGAGAGTGAATTTCCCCATTGTTGGACATTAAAGCGATTTACTTTATTATATATTCATACATTGTGTTGCATTTTTGTCTTCTTTTTCCTATGCATAATGTTTTGTTTTTTATATCCTGGGATGAGTGGGTTACTCTGGTTCTGATCTCCATCTGGTGCAAACGTCATGCATCATCAGAGGTATATTTACAGGAATAAAGAGTGTTCAGCAGCTGATGTCCTTCCTGTTTATCTGCATCCATGCACTCATCCATGGACTGTTCTAACTATCATCCTTCTAACATTCATGACATCCTTATATCTACGATCTATATTGTCCTGTCCTCTTTATTGTGATAAATTGGTTATTATAGCTTTATGGCAGATAAACACGGATCTCCTCTTCAGACCTTTACATGTTAATTTGTCTTTATGTCGTCCTGCAGCATCATGGTGAGGGATTCCACTGTCTTCCCCTAAAATCCTAAAATGAAATCTTTTTCTTTCTGGTTCCTCTTCAGTCTCCCAGCTCTGTGTTTTTCAGATCTGTAAATGAAATAATCTTTCAGCGTTCAGCACAGCTGTGCAAGCACCTGACATCTGGAGACTTCCCACAGCTTCTCTCTGCACCTGAACCACATCAGAGGATTTATTAAAACACGTGAAAACTGCGTCTGATGGAACATTTTATGATTCTTAATGAGGGATCCAAGTGAGTAATGTATTTATGTCACATAACCACACACCTCAATGTTTTTTAGGACTCTATGTGAGTCTCTGACAACAAGTAGGACAGATTTGTTAAATGGAAAAAACTCCTACATGTTTACATTTTTGTTATAAATCTTAAAAGTTGTGACACGTGTTTCTATTCAGTTATTTAGTTAATGTTTTCCCTTAAAATGCAGATTTAAGTCTTCCAGATCAGTGGTTTTTAAAGTGGGGATTCCCTGGGTCTTATGAGACACTAAGTGGGGGGCTGACAGATGATTTTCATGATAATTGTGATCCCTGACTGGAAGACCAAAATATACCTTGATGTATATAAATGAGTAAACTCTATTCATTTATTTTTCTAATTCATGATTTAAATATTTATTATACCATAAAAATACAAAATGCACAATTAAATGATTAAAATACTAAGTAAATTATAAAAAAAGCAATGAAAATGATTAATTAAACAATTATGTATCATTTACATGTTATAAGATTGGCAATAATTACTTCACTTTATATGTATAAATAAG